AAAAAAGCAATTATAGATATTAATTGGCAAGACATATTCATCGTTTATCATAATTTCTTTTTTTCAAGATAAAAAATTGCTAAATCTATAAGCTTCCCGATATATAATAGAAGATGCAAAATAAACATTCCAAATCAAAGATCGTTAAATCCATGTAGAGTTGTAGCGTCTCAAGTTTCAAGGAATTTAAAAAAAAAAAAATGTTTGGAGGATATTTGAGTAGGGTGATGCCGGAGAATCAGATTCAAAATGGACAGTATATGTTTACTTTTTGATATTTTCACCTTATGCTAAGGTTATAGGAAATCCAGTCTATGATAATCCAAAATGACACTTGTGTATCTAGACACAAAAACACAAATCAAATCGCCAGAGAATTTTGAGATCGTTTAGAAAAGAAGAGTTGAAGAAAAGTTTATGTTTACGGCTCAAAAGGGGAGCTGTGTTTATACTTGACAAATTATGGTTAATCTTCTAAATTAGCTATATAAATCTCGTAATTAATGGCATAATCAATGGTTTCCAAAACTGACGAAATTTGTCAATTTTACCATAATCAACCACTAGAATTCGGATTTTCCATAAATAAACTAATTCAAATTTCCGAAGACCTTTTGGGGTGTTGCCCCAAACCCCACAGGACCCCGCCCAGGGGCTCTGCCCCTAGGACCCTGCAAGGGGGCACGACCCCCTTGACCCCGCAATTCTATCGTATCGGCTTATAATTCGATCTTATATATGCATGCACTCCCCATTCACCAAACATATAATATGGAGTACAAATAATAAGCCCCTTAGCTCACATGTCAGTCTCAATTACGCAAAATGTCAGGTGACACTAAAATCACCAACAATAGGTAAGCATCCATTTCTCATAAAAGATAAAAAATAATGATTGTTTAAAACCACAAAACCAATTCATGAAAATCAATGTATCAAAATCATCATATACAACGGAAGTCTAAAATGTAAATCATTAATGATTATGAAGCATGTGTCGTACAATCAATTTGGGTCCCTCCCACTATCAACAAAACAATCTAAAAAATATTTAATCCACAACTGTAAGCATAAAGTTTAGTGAGTTCCTCAAAATATCATATATCACATCACATATACACTGCATATATACAAGGCTCATAATCAACACCTTACTAGGGCCTATAGGCTCATAACCCTCATCCTAAAATACATGTTAGACTTCTATCCGGCTCATGGTCAACACCTCAATGGGCCTATAGGCACAAGACCCTCATCCCAAAGACCTGATAGACTTCTAGCCCTCCTCCATAGTGGGCATGAAGGCTTATAACCAACTTCCCCTATAATCAACATATACTAAGCAACTAAACTAACTAGCCTAAATGTAACATCCGTAAAATTCATGAAAATTTAAACTTTTAAAACCAACCCCAAAAACATAAATCGTTTACAACATAGTTTTCAAAACATGTTCCATATCAGAGTTTTCCCAAAATCATAAGTCCAAAACAGGAGGATGTGTATGGTCACGCCTTCGCCTTCCCGTGATCCTTTGAAGTACCTGAAACATAACCCAAAACTGTAGGCTAACGCTTAGTGAGCTTTCCCCTAAAGTACCAACACACAACACATATAACAATAACAAACAGCATGCATACAGAGCCTTCAGCATGACTGGACCGCCTTACAGGCCTTCAGCCTATCTGGACCGCTCACAGGACCTTCAGCATGACTGGATCGCCGCACTGGGCCTTCAACATATCTGGACCGTCCTCCAGGCCTTCGGCCTGACTCGACCGCCTCGTAGGGCCTATAGTCTATCCGGTCCGCCCTGGGTGTCTTGGCCTTCAACACAAAGCAGGACCGCCTCAACCCAACACACCATCACATATCAACATGTAACATAATCAATCATAGCTAGCATATACCGGCAAACATATAGATCTAACAGATCTCTACAACATAGCAACATCCTATCTACTAGGATACAGATCTAACAGATCACAATAGCATAGCAACATCCTATCTACCAGGATACAGATCTAACAGATAACAATAGCATAGCAACATCCTATCTACCAGGATACAAATCTAACAGATCACTACAGCACACAACCATACACTAACCAGGGTAACAATCCAAAGGGTCGGCCTTGGTGCCTTCCACTTAGAAGTACAGTGAGGAAAACTCACCTCAATCCGCTGATAAACACTTGAATGAACTCTGGCTGTTGGTTCGGAAAATCCCCGCGCTATCAGTATCAAATAACATCCAATTAATATTTGAATTCTGACCCATAACTAAGAGTCTAAGCTACACAGCCCAAAACCAGGGTAAAAGATTCTACGCTTTGATTCGCTTGGCCCAAAACCAAGGCCCAATTATGTGACATACCCATTTTTTACGGCCAGAAAAGACCGATTTCGTTTATGATTTTAAAATAAAATCAGAGTAATCTTTCAAAAGGTGTTGCGGAATTTGTCCCCAAAACAAAATATGATAAAAATTTATCAAAGCATTTCTTAAAGAAATGTATTTTTCATTTCATCACAAAACTCGGGATGTCCACATCGATACAGACCAAAAGCATAAACAATACAATATATGTCTTACAACAGTTATTTACATCTACTGCCCTATGATTCAAAATCCCTCGTCATCATCCAACTATGCTCTTGTTCCACTACCTGTAATATAAAACGCTGAGTGGGTCAGGCTTGGGAGCCTGGTGAGCATATAGGGTTTTCAACCCACAATAAATAAATTTATTAATTTTCATCAACCAACAATAAATTTATTAATTTCATCAATCAAAAATAAATTTATTAATAACCCTGATTACCCATTCTCGTTATCCTCACTTTATGTCCCTAAACATCTAATAAAAGGGACCTAGCTTAAGGATCATCATTGGGGTAACAACACTGCTTAAGGGATAATTCTGTAGTTTCTTAAGGTTCCACCCTAAGAATCCTCTATCATTCACTCATTCATTCCAAAGGATTGTTCTAAGGAATAGGCACAAAGTCCATCGTTGCCAATAGCACAGCTGTCAATGTTCTCTATTAGGCACAACTGCCAATGTTATCCTTTAGGCGCAGCTGCCAATGTTATCCTTTAGGCGCAGCTGCCAGGATATTTAGATTACAACTGGTGAACACTTAAATAAAAAATAATTGGTGAGCACTTAGTTCAAAAACATCTAGTGAACACTCAGTTCAAAAATACCTAATGAACACGTAGTTCCCCACAATATGATAATAATGTATATCTCAAACCTGCAAAACCATTATTATTATTAATACAGATATATCACATCTCTAGAACAATCTATCCCATCCCCTCACTCCCCACGTACTGATCCTATACAATGATCTTACGAGATCTAGCCTAAAGGATCGATATGAACAACAAACTGACGAAGTTGCTTCAGAAATTCCCTGGCAGCAAACGAGGATCAATAAAGACATCAAATAAGGGGAATGGAATAAGTTTCACCACGAACCTCCGGTCATAAAAACCACAAGACAGTTAAGTCAGGGTTAGTTATCTAGATAATTGTGCCTAGCATTTGTCTAACATCTTGAGGTATTTTACCCCCAGACTCACCCTATCCGGCATTGAACTTTGCCTAGCAGTGGTCTGACATCGTGAGGTATTTTACCCCCAGACTCACCCTATCTGGCATCATAACACCAGACATACCTAGTAGTGGTCTATTACCGACACACTTTATTAGGCAGTCTACGAAGTTCCCTCAATTACTTCGTGAAAGGAAACGCTGACACATGAAGCTCTTTCGATCACTTCATAAAAGAAACGAAGACTCCAAAGCTCTTCAAAATAAAAAGTATATGGAAATACTAATAAAGTACTCCTATACGCTCCCGTACCCCGACACGCAATAGTGTCAAAAAGAAGAACTTTGTACATGATACCTATCGGATGAACACATAGTTCAAAAATATCTGATGAACAAATAGTTTAAAATCACCTAATGAACACATAGTTCAAAAATACATAATCCATACTTCCGGATCTAAAATTTACCTCTTTACCTAATCCATACTCCCGGATCGGGTATGTCTGATCCATACTCCCGGATCTAAAACTTACTTCTTTACCTAATCCATACTCCCGGATCGGGTATGTCTGATCCATACTCTCGAAAAACACATACATCTTACGAGCCTGCTAACGTTCCATTGGACTGTCTAGAATAGTCTGTGGTCGTTGTCTATACTCTGCTAGATGACTAGATCATCTTAAACATCGAGACTTCTCATGAATTTTTATTTCATCACATATCAGCTATTTCATCTACCCATGTTATACCCAACATATTTGTAGATAAAAGTACATATACAGTTTAAATCATTCTAAACTTGTATAAAATATTCATTCAACATCCATCTCAAATAAACAAACAATATATATACACATAGCACATATTTTATATAAAATACTTCATATCTATGTGTAAGATGAAAGTGACTATACATTCACTTGATTTAACGATGATTGGGCAACACCTCGTCTCTTAAAATAATCGTTCCTGATAAAACCGGGATGTTTTCTCAAAAATCAGGCTTCACATAGGCAGAGTTTCGGCTCGAAAACTCTTTTTCTCGGGATCTTCGGGCTCTCCGGGGCTTGCTTATGATGCTAGGATGATATAATAGGCTTGGGGGTATTTAGTGTAGCAAAAAGAAAGGTATAGGGGAGAGAGGAGTAAAATTGTAACCTAAAATCGGATGGCATCGATCACTATTTATAGTGGTTGGACACTTGAGTTACGTTGGGCGTAACTATATAGTACGCGGGGCGTACAACTTCTTCAACCAGTATGTTGGGCGTACTTCGGTACGCTGGGCGTACCGTGATACGTGGCTCCG